GTCGGGGCTCGGGGCCAGCAGGTCCTGGCGTGGCTGCCTGTTTGTCCTTTAGAGGACCTGGTTTAGCAGCTCCTGCCTTTTTCCAGCGGGTGGGAAGGGCACTGGTCACCTTGCAGAGCATTGGGGCTGGTCCTGGTGGGGTGGGACTGGGACAGAGCCCAGCAAAGAGGGGGCAGCTCCGCTTTAGGGGGGGGAAGTTTTGTCCATGAGAAGCGAAAAGATTTGCTTTTTTTGTGCCTGTCTGGAATCGAGTAGAGAGAAAAAAAAACACCCCACCAACTCATATATATAAAACATATATATAAAAATATATATTTTGCCCAAGGCGCGAGGTCCCGCTGAGTAAGGAGATGTGAATGACGCGTAACCTAACACTTTCCCAGACACCCTAATGAATTTTCCATGTTTTCCACCATTGAGCTTCTAAATAGGCAGTATTCAAGAAAAAAAATAAAGTCCCACCACAACACACAACCCAACCCCAACAAACCCCCCCCCCCATCATCTCCGGCGGGACGGTCCCTGCAGCGGGATTAACCCCCCCGTGGATGCTCATGGAGATGATGCTGAAGCAGGAGGAGGTGGCTCCAGTTCATGCTGGTCCAGGGGATGGGTGTCCATGGGGGGGTGATGGGTTCAGGGGGGGTCCCCAGGGGTGTGGGAAGGGTGCTGAGCACCTCACAGAGCACCTCACAGGGTCATTTGTCCTCATTGTTTCAGAAGAAAAAGATTGTGCCTTAACGATGCTGATTGCTCATTTGTGCACGGTTCGTTAAGGGCCCAATGAGGGAAAAGGATGGGGTGGGCAAGGGGAGACCCCTGCACACAAGGAAGGCTCCTTCCCCTTGGTCCTGCAGAGCCTAGAAACTTTTTGCAAGTTAAAAGATTATTTACTAAGACAGTTTGGAGACAACACAGTCATTAAAATAGAGGCTGGGGTTTAGAGTTTGGTCTGGAAAGAGAATATAATAGGATTTTTTTTTGCTGAGACTTTGTTAGCTTTGTCCTCAAAGGAAATATTCTTCATTTTTCCTAGGAGATTTTTCAGCCCAAACTCCACTCAGTTTAATATCTGAACATCAAAAAAAAACTCCTTCAAGCTCCAGTGATTTTTTTTTTCTTGTTTTTCCCTCTTTCAGTTTTCATTTGCAAAAGAAAAACCAAACATTTCTGCTCTGGCTGCCCCACACTCTTTGCTTTCTGCCCTGTTTTTCAGAGTCTCCTGGGAGACATTGAGGGCCCGTGGGTGCTGGGCTCTGCCCTCTGGCAGCCTGGACCCAAATCTGCACCCACTCTTGGCTCTCAGAGGGTCTTTGGGAGAGGGTGATGCACCCCATGTCCCCTGCTGCCACGCTGGGCTCCAGCTTTCCCATTTAAATCCATTAAATCAGTGCAAAACCCGCCCAGGAGCAAGAGGCAGCGGCCACAGCACGCTGGGTCCTGTGCTTGGTAGGTGGCCCGCATGAAAATATTGCCCATATAAAAATAAATAAGGCCCATCATATAAAAACAACCCCCATCTGGCCCTCAGGTGCTGGGTACGTTGCACACTGTGGGCTCACTGGGCTACCTGCCCCCCCCCAGCTCTGTTTTAGCCACTGGCTCGGTCCAGCATCACCTCTGATGGCAGATCCTGATGCAGCCACAGCCTCAGCCCCCCCAGGACATCACCCCCAGCACCAAAACCACCCCCCCAGAGGGGCTGCACCCCTTGAAACCCCCTTTTCCACGGGTGGCCCAGTGCCCGTCGGTGCCACAGAGCCCTTTTTCTTTGTCCTCTTCTTTCTTTTCCTCCTGGTCTCCCTTTTCTTCGCAGCTCTAAAGGAGTCCGGGCGTGAAGAGGGGATCAATGGGGAACGGAAAGTTCCTGTAAATAAATAACAGCTCGACCTCGGGGTGTTTCTCTCCCAGTAGCTGTGAAGAAAAGGCGGACACGTCCAGGCTTTGACTTGAAACATATTTCCGCTGGCCAGGGCTGCGGAGCCGGGTTCTCACCCATATTAGCATTTATTGTGGTTTGGTTTGGGCTTTTCCTATTTTTTTTATTTTTTTTTCCATTCCCCCCCCCATTCTTTTTTTCTCCTTCGGTGCAAGGGTTAGGCTGGGGGGGGCTGCTGCAGAGGAGGGTTGGCATCAGCTGGCATCACCCCGGCTGATGAACAACGCTGGCGTTGAGTGGCTTCGGCTCCTCGGGAGCCACCAGCCTCGGGCACGTTGGCACCAGATGCTATTGTAGAGGGTTTTATTTTATTTTATTTTATTTTTTTCCATTTTATTTGTTTTTTTGCTTTTCAGCTGTCATATGGGTTCTGGAGGCGAGTGGTGAGTGCTAAGGGGTTTGGGCTTGGACCGCCTGGGAATGTGGGTCCTGGTTAGGATTTGTGCCGGAGCTTTTGTGTCTGGGGAAGCGGCGCGGCGATGACAGGCAGCGGTGGGGATGCGGGGTGCTTGGATGGGGATGAGGGATGCTTGGATGGGGATGCGGGATGCTTGGATGGGGATGAGGGATGCTTGGATGGGGATGAGGGATGCTTGGTTGGGGATGAGGGATGCTTGGATGGGGATGTGGGATGCTTGGATGGGGATGAGGGATGCTTGGATGGGGATGAGGGATGCTTGGCTGGGGATGCGGGATGCTTGGCTGGGGATGCAGGATGCTTGGATGGGGATGAGGGATGCTTGGATGGGGATGTGGGATGCTTGGATGGGGATGCAGGATGCTTGGATGGGGATGAGGGATGCTTGGCTGGGGATGCAGGATGCTTGGCTGGGGATGCAGGATGCTTGGATGGGGATGAGGGATGCTTGGATGGGGATGTGGGATGCTTGGATGGGGATGCGGGATGCTTGGCCGGGGATGCGGGATGCTTGGATGGGGATGTGGGATGCTTGGATGGGGATGTGGGATGCTTGGCCAGGGATGCAGGGATCACCTGCCAGGTCTGGCTTGGGGCAGCCTGAGTGGTCCAGCCCCACCTCGGAGAAGCCTCAAGGGGTTTGCTCAGAGCTCAGAGCCTGAGATCCCCCCCCCTTTGCATCCCTGTGAAGGGACTTTACGAGGAGAGGCTGAGGGACTTGGGGCTTTTTAGTCTACAGAAGAGAAGGCTGAGGAGGGATCTGATCAATGCCTGTAAATACTTAGGGATCACCTGCCAGGTCTGGCTTGTGGCAGCATGAATGGTCCAGCCCCACCTTGGAGAAGCCTCAAGGGGTTTGCTCAGAGCTCAGAGCCTGAGGTCCCCCCCCTTTGCATCCCTGTGAAGGGACTTTATGAGGAGAGGCTGAGGGACTTGGGTCTTTTTAGTCTGGAGAAGAGAAGGCTGAGGGGGGATCTGATCAACGCCTGTAAATACGAAAAGGGTGGGTGTCAGGAGGATGGGGCTGGTCTTTTCTCAGTGGTGCCCAGGGACAGGACAAGAGGAAATGGGCACAAACTTGAACGTAAGAAGTTCCTCCTAAACATGAGGAGGAACTTTCCTGTGAGGGTGGCAGAGCCCTGGAAGAGGCTGCCCAGAGAGGGGGTAGAGTCTCCTTCTCTGGAGACATTCCAAACCCACCTGGACACGTTGTGCAACCTGCTCTGGGTGGACCTGCTTTGGCAGGGGGTTGGAGGAGATGATCTCCAGAGGTCCCTTCCAACCCCATATCACCCTGTGATTCTGTGACCCACCTGCCCTCCTCCCTGGACACCCCTGCGATGCCTGTTTAGGCCAAATGGGGGGTAAGAGCAGCCACAAGCACCCCCCAACACCGGATCCAGGCACCAGGATGCTCAGAAAAGTGGATAATGAGCAGCGTGAGGAACCTTCCCCTGCACCGGGGCACAGATCTGCTCCCCCCAACCCCCCCCAAGAAGCGAGCAGGCGGACGGCAGAGGGGAGACTCGTAACCGTACGTTTATTATTCCACATGGAAAGTCATTAAAATGATTACACGGAGGCCTGAGGCTATAATCACGTACATTGGATAAGAACATCGACACCGATAATAGAAAAGCAGAACTGACCACTTCGCTACGGCTTCGGACCCGGGCGATTCCCCCCGGAGGAGCCCAGCTCTGGTCTCCTCGAAGCCAGCGACGTCTCCAGCGAGAGCTTCTTCCAATGACTTCAACAGGAGCAGACCTTCCTCCTCCTCCTCCTCTTCCTCTCCCTCCCCGCCTCCCCCCTCCCCAGTGACAAGTGCTACAGGTTAAAAAGATGGGCTACATATTAAATATAGGGCATTACCTTCAAGTAGGGCTGGTATTTTACACAAATAACCACATTATTTGGTATCACTAGCATTTTTTTTTTTTAATGTCCATCGTAAGACACCATTAAAAAAACCAACAACTTTAGCCTTCTTTATCTACAAAGATCTTTGTTCTCATCTCCTTAGTCGTTTGGTGTTATTTTACCCTGCACATACAAGTATTAGAAGCATTATTAAGAATCGGATCCTTCAACACATTTAAGAATTATATTATTATAACAAATAAGACCAAAAATTAGATTTTTATAGTTAAATATTCTGTGAGCCAGACAAAGGGGCTTTACTGTACAAGCGATTGTGCATTTTTCTTTTTAAAAAAAGCAAATTATAGTGCAAAGCAAAAAACGTTGGCCTGTCTCGTGACCATTTGCATACAATAGAGGTGCATCTATTTACACCTTCACATGACAATATGTCATAAAAATAACATCGTTGCCATTCTTTTTATTATTTTCTTCTTTTTTTTTTTTCTTTTTCTCTTTCTTTCCGTTTTGTTTAAAATCCGCTACGAACAGTCTTAAATTAACCTAGTACTACGAATGCCTTGTTTTTCCTTTGTGCTTTCCATCAGTGGCGCGGTCGGATGCTGAAGGTTAAAATGCATCAAAACACAGGCTGCCGTGGTCCAGTTTCTACAGCTGGCAAACACCAGAGAGGTGCTCGCTGGTGCTAAGGCAAGTGAAGGTTGCAGTTTTGCTGGGGTAGGGCTTTTTTTTTTTATTATTATTATTTTTTTCATCATTATTATTATTATTATTATTATTTAAAAGAGTTGTTCTTCTTGTTGCTTATTTCACTCGTGAGTGGTCATCGCAGCTTTCCAAGGAAGCCAGGATGTCTTGCTCCAGTCTGGACGTGGTAGTGCAATTAACAACGCTCTCTACCTCAACCGAGGGCTGACGAGCTGCCGACTGAGATTTGGTGATTGCGCGGCTGCAAGGGTGCAACTTGGGCAGAGGGGCTGGGAGAGCCAGGTGGGCTTTCCGTTTTCAATTTTCCTATGCTCAGGTGAAAAATAAAAAAATAAAAAAAATAAAATAATCGTGGTTACTGGTGGCACTGGGATTTGGGAATGTCGCTTGGTTGGAGGGTGGGCTCCGAAGGGCAGTGGTCACTGCTCCCTGAGAACCTGCCCACGCACCCTCAGTGCTGCTGGTGGGAGGAATCCCGAATCCAGCCCGAATTTCCACGTCACCAGCAGGCACAGCGGGATCACGGGAGGGGATGTGACCTCCCTCGGAGCCAGGCCACCAGCCTGGCCTTGAGGAAGCCCTTTGCCACCCCTCCAGCTGCCTCCCATCACGGTCCCATTTGGGTTGCAACCTCTTTGGTATCAGGTATCACGATTTGGTATCACGAGGGTGTGTGGTGCCCAGGAGCCCTGGTTCCTCTGAATGCCACATGAAGCCACCAGCTACCGATGGTACCATCAGTGCCCCTTCCTCAGCTTGTTCATCTACAGCGAGATACCCCTGCGCTGGGTCACTCGGGGGGAAGGAAAGGAGGGTGAGGGGATGGAAAATGCAAGCCAACGCCGCTTCGCAATATTCCCACCACCAAGGGACCAAGCAGAACTTGCTCCTTTCTCCAAATCTCAGTCAGAGCTTTCCGTATGAACCAAGTCGATTCTTAATAAAAAAAAAAAAATCATCATGTGTCAATCCGCTCTGGGTGAAAAAAATGGGAAAGAATCGTAAGAGAAATATGGTGCTGCATGTGTCGCCACTCAGAGAGGATGAAAGGAAGACCCAGAGACCGATGGTGGGGTCACACCAAAGGCTCCTGAGTCCCTTCTGCAGCTAACGCGCTCGGAAGTGCATCTCATACAGCTGGGATTGTCCTGAACGCCGCCTTCGCTTCGGCCACCATCGCTGAGATTTGCTGAGAGGAGCAAAGGATTGAATGGTGAGGTCAGGACAAGCGAGCAAACAGAACAAAACAAAACACGTCTCGTTAAAAAGTACATCTCATATGTAAACATAGAGGAAAGGGGGAAAGGGGAAGGGGGGGGTGGGTCTGTCAGGCACGGGATCAGCCACGTTACTGTTTTAAAAATGACGACAATGACAAAAATGAACAATACAACCTCTGTCGCCGACAACAAATAATAATAATAATCACATCACAGCTCGTGTTCACGTGGCTGATGCCGGCCGGCCCGCGAGGAGCGTGCCCGAGTCCCCGCCGTTGGGCTGTAAACCAGACTCTCAGGTGCCACGCGCGGCTCTGGCGTCATCCCGGAGCTCTTTGGTGGTCGGGGGCCCTACGCTGGTGGGGAGGGAAGGAGAGGAGACAATGGGGGGCTTTTTTCTTTTTTTTTTTTCCTTTTTTCTGGTTTTTTTTTTCAGTTCAGTCTTCCTGCACTGGCAGAGAGACGGCTTGGCCGACTCCCTGGTCTTGTCTCTTCTCTGAAACATTTTGCAGAAGAAGGGTGAGCTTTTCGTAACTTTTGAATGCTTTGTGAGGGGAAGAGGTGTGAGTGAGATGACTGAGAAGTGTTCTGCAAGAGACAAACATCTGATTCCGCACGTCCTTATTTTTTGTTTCCCCCTATGTACAATCCACATACTTAAAGCATACGAAAGGAACCACATCAAGCGACAAATTCAAGCCTCGTGGACGTTCATCTTGAAATGTAACGTAGGTCTTGGTCCATCTTCGCTTGATGTTTGCCCGTGTTTGCATGCAGAAGATCCTGGTTTGCTTTTGGTTTGAGAGACTTTGGTTTACCCTTTCCCGAGGCATCATTTCGCTCGATTCACTACCAAAAGGAGTATCGTAAAGGTGGCTGATTAAGTTAAAGCTATAGGTGCCCAGTTGAGTTCCTCCTAGTAGGGCCTCCAGACCGACTCATCCATCCTCCCAGTAGTCGTCATGGTCGTCGGCGAGTTACTGTGGCTCCCATCCGCATCCACCCCGTCGTTCTGATTACCCAGGTTGGGATTCATTAAGTTGTTCCCCGCTGAGGCACTTGTACAAGAAGAGAGCATCCGGGTGGGGGACCGCTCGCCGCCGGCCACCATGGAGAACTGGTAGGAGCCCGAAGACGTGCCATAGTACAAATGGTAGGGAGAAGGGTTGGCCTGGAAGGGTCCACTTTGGTTTTGCGTGGAGCCGGGGTAAGGGGGAGGCAGGTAAGTGTGGTGGAAACGCGTCGTGGTGGGCATGCTGGTCATGCTGATGCCCCCGATGCCGGTGGGAGAGGGCGTCGCGGTGTAAGGGAAGGCAGCGGACATGGCGCCGGGGTAATGCATCCGTGGGTCGGAGAACCTGGTGTCGGTGAGAGTGGGCAGCGTCGGGAAGGAGCGATCGAACTGCCGGGGGTCAGAGAAGGGGCTCAGATCTGAGGTGCCTGTTGGGGTGGAGAAAGAAAGCGGGTGGTTAGAGCACGAAATTCGAGGCTTGTGGAGTTTGTCCTACAAGCCTGGGCCATCTCCTGCCCAAGGGATTAAAGCCAGAGGGAAAAGCGTCCCCTGGATCTGCCAGGGAAGAGAGCTGGGGAACTTAAGTACAAAAAAAATCCTAAACCCATCTGTTTAAGTTGTTCCCATTTCCTGTCCTAAAATTTGTTGTTTCCTATCCAAGAAGGGACACGACCAAGCTGACTTCTCTAGGGGTCTATTCATCTCTGGCGGATTAAAAAAAAAAACACAGCCCATAAACACAGAAAAAAAAATGTTTAGCCATTACATCAGCTGTGTAGTAAATAAATGGATGCGGGCCCCAGACGGCCGGTCCCTGAGATAGTCGGTGGTGTATACACACACACACGGAGACGGGGAGGAAAAGCTGGAGTCCAGACCAGCCTGCTAAGCCTTCTTGTGGGTGGCCTGTTCGTGCTGATACCATCAGGGGATGGAGCTGATAAACACACAGCTGAAAACTCCCAAGCTAGGAGCCACAGTATCCCTCTGCTTGATTTCTCTGTGTATTTTTCTCCTTCCAAGAGGATAAAGAGAGTGAGAAATTCAGGCTTTTTTTTCTGCTGGGGGGAAGGGAGCCTTGGGTCAGCACGGTGGGGATGTTACCCAGCTCCCCTCGGATGCTGGAGCCCCCCCGTGGCTTTTCCTGGGGGGTCTAAACCCAAAGGGGGTCGCAGCCAGCTTCCAACTGGAGAGGGATCTCTGCCTGGTGCTGCCGGGTCCTGGCCTCCTGCTGGAACCCAAGGTTAGAGGTGGGAATCCAGACCAGCAGATCCTTTGAGGACCTCGAGGCTTTGCTGTGGCACCACCCTCAGCCATCCCAAGGCTGGTGCCATTTCCTTATAGAGCCCAGCGCACCCAAGACAGAGAGAAATGAGTTCTGCTCTCCAAGGAGAGATGGAAACCCCTGTCCTCGAGACCTCGGTGGCCCACGCCAAGCTCCGGCACTGGTTATGCAGGAGGACATAGCTAGAAATGCTGCAACCGGGCCTTTCTCAGCCTTTTAACACCCCTCACAAGATGACAATCTCTAAAAAAAGCAATTCTAGCCCAAAGCCTTGGCTGAGGCACTGAGCTCAAAGCCTTGGCCAGCTGGAGGTGGCTCCTCACCTTTTCTGTTTGCACCCAAGACCCCTGTTTTTCCCTTGTTAAAAGCAGGGGCATGGCACCTGCCTCCTGGCCTCGGTGACATTTTTGTCACGTTGGCTGGATTTTTAATCAACTCAAAGCAAGAAAATGTGTGAGATGAGTAGGAGGATAAACGTGCTTGTTGGTTTTAGATGTGCATATGTATACAGACACACATTCATATGATTGTGCATTTGCTATGCATGCAGAGCCATGTGTGATTTATACGTTGGTTTTAGATGTGCATATGTATATAGACACACATTCATATGATTGTGTATTCGCTATGCATGCAGAGCCATGTGTGATTTATATACATTTATTATGATGAAGCGTTTTTTAACTTCTCAGTGCTGGTGTTCCAGGCCCTGCAGCATTCCCCTGGGGAAAAATACTCCAGCTAATCCCTTCCAGCTAACTAGTGGCAAGAGCACGCTCTTGGAGGAGCAGAAAGGGAGAGGGTTTGATCTGAGTGAACCCTCTTTCTCATCCCAGGTGAGTCCTTCAGCCATCGGCCGCGGGAAGGAGCAGGGGAGGAGAGGTTCCTCCCTCGCCTCCGGCCGTTTTGCGGGCGATCGGCAGCGCCTGCCTTCCCACGCAGGCTCCAGGGAGGAGAAAGGTGGAGGGGGGAGCACCTGGTTTGTGAACGTGGCTGCGGCTTTGGGGCGAGATAAGAGAGGAGCAGCTCAAAGCCGTCACGAACCGCGCCGCTCTGGCACACAACCCGGGGCTGGATGCAGCCGAGCCCAGCGCGGCCGCCGCCGTCCCTCCTGCATGCCATGCGGAAAGGGGGAGCGTGCTCGGGCTGGCTGGAAAAGCACTACGTTGGGAAAAACTGCTCCCAACTGACCAAACCAACCTGATCTCCCATCGCAGCCTGCCAGCGGGACGCTCTGCCCCATCCCCGAGCCGTGCTGCTGCCAAAGCAGCACCAAAAAACTGCTGTCAGGCGCGGGGAGGTGAGGTTTGGAGACCAGCTCTGCAAGAAGCAGCTTGACCAGCGCCTGTAGCTTTAGCAATCACAGGATAAGGGGGCAAAAATCCTGGCTGAACTTGCACTGGAGAGAAAAAGCACTATTTTCTGAATCCTTCCTCCTAATACACACAGAGCCTGGCCACTGTGGGCCAAGTAGCTGGACCGTTTTGCCATACACTGAGAGAAAGCAGTCCCGAAATCCACCCCAGAAAACCCAGGCTGCTCCTTGCTCCCTTCCCGAGAGCAGATGACAATCTCCAGCTCCTTCATTAGCTTTCACATGCCCATAAATAATATTCCATAAAATGCTAATCGAAATAAAACCTAAGTGTGCAGTGCACATTTCCCTTTTCCTCTATAACACGCTCAAAGAGTGGTGTTTTTTTCGTTGGGTTTTTTTTTTTATAAAGGCTGCATTTTATTGGCCTGAACTTGCAACGCTTGGCAATGGGTCCTTGCTACTAATTTAGACGCAAGCGTGTCAGAGTGTTAATTGCAGGCGCTGTGTGTGACGAGCCAAGCACGGCGAGACCCTCGGATCTAGGGACACCCTGGCCATCACCTGCAGAACTCGGGTGGCCATGGCAGAGACTCTGCAGGCCCCGGGCTCTGAAACCCCAAGTCTCTGACAGACAGGACTCAGTAAATCCAAGGGAATGTGGGGGCGAATCCCTCGGAAATCAAATTCCTCGGAAAGCAAATCCCTTGGAAAGCAAATCCCTCGTTTCTGCCTGCTTTGGCCAGGGAAACCCATGGAAGGGGCTGGGCATCCAAGCGGCCATGACCAACTCGCTTTCATCTTCATGGGCCTTGGGCTTCAAGTCTGGCCCAGAATAAAGCTCCAGCTTCACCCAACCAGTCTGAGGCTAAAAGAACCAAACGCAATTAACCCCCCAAAACAATAGCGACTTGTGTATTTTCCCTCTGTGTTATCTGGTGGTGGGGGGGAGGTGGGGTTCGGCCTTCCCAGGCTGTGGCAACCAGACACCAGCCCTATAATGTCGGCCTCTGTTTTGCCCTGGAGCCCCCGGGGAGGTGAAGCCCGTCCATCCCTGCTCCCCGCCGTGACGCCCAAGCGGGAGAGCTTCCCCGGCGGCTCGGGGCTGAGGCGGCCATGGCCGGGCCGAGGCACGGAGCTGCCCGGCGGAGAGCGGCCTCCCCGTTAACCATCCCCATGGCGCCCAGGGCCCGGCCCGTCGCGGGGGCTCGGCGGCGTCCCCCGCCACCCCTCAGCGCCTCGGGCGGGGAGAAGCGGCCGCCGGCTGAAAGGAAGCCCCGTCCCGGTTGCCAGCAGAGGGCAACGGCCGCCGGGCCCACGGAGGGAGGCGGCCGCTAGAGGGGGC